TCGAGTTCGGTTCGAATTTCGAACCGAACTCGAACTCGGGCAAAAGTCCGGTTCGGTTCGGTTCATAGGAACACTACTTAAATCAAACTTGAATCGGAACAAAAATCTGGTTTAAAAATTTAAATCTAATTAAAAATTTGATTTGAGTGCAGTTAAACTTTGAATCTGACTCAAATTTAATCAAAAATTCAATTCAAGTTCAAGTAAATATTTGATAATATTTTAAATAAACTTGTAAATTATAACTAAAGTTACAAATTAATATAAAATAGTTAATATTTAGGATAAATATTCAAAAAGTTATATAGATTTAAAAAATATTTTTAATTTTAATTCACTTTATTTATTTATAGTAAGTATTTATTTTTTAATAGTAACTATTTTTTACTATTAGATTTAACAAACAAATTTGTTTGCTAAAATTTCATAAATTTATATTTATATATTTTTATTAAAAATTAAAATATATTAAAAAAATTGTTTAATTTTAGCTTTATATATTATATAATAATTATTTTTACTTTTTTAAAATTATAAAAAATTATAGTTGTCTATAAGTTAAAAATAAGCAATTTTAAAAAATTTTTATAATTAATCTTAAATTTTAAAAATATTTTATAATAAAATTACAAAATTAATTAAAAAATTAATTAAATATTTTAAGTAATTGTAAATTAAAATTACAAATTTTATATTATATTGATTAAAAATATGCTATATTTTTTATTTTAGCTTAGAAAAAGAGAAAAATTAAGCTTATAAAAATTAGAAGTAAATATACAAAAATAAGCTAAAAAAAATTTTAACAAACAAATTTGTCTACTAGACAATTTAAAAAATAAATTATAATTCTAAGTAATATTGTAATCAGAAATATGAATTACAAATTAATATATAATAGTTTCTATTAATAATAAATATTTGAAGAATTATATAAAATTTATGATAAAATTTAATAAATATAAAAATAAAAATATTTTAGCTATTATTAAGTAAACTTTTAATTCTTATTAAATACTATAAATTATATATATAAACAAAGTTTTAACTCATATTTAGAGTTATAAATTAGCATATAATACTATATATTAATTTCAAATCAAACTCAAACCAAACTCAAATTTATATAATGATTTAATTCAAGTTCAGTTTAAACTTTAAACCTTTTTTGAATTCAAGATAAAGTTTGATTTGAGTTTAGTTCAAACTTTTAAACCAAACTCAAATTCAATAAAAGTTTAATTTAGTTTAGTTTATAGAAATACTACTTGATATATTTATTTGCTATTTTTATTTGTTATATTTATTTACTATATTATTTATTATCTTTACTATTTTACTATTTATATCTATTAAATACTATATTAATTTCAAATTAATTTATAATTTATTAAATTAGAATTAGAGTTATTTTATATTAATCTAAAATAAGTTAAAATTAAATACTGTATTAATTTTAAATTAATTTAAATTAATTTATAATTTATTAAATTAAAATTAAAATTAGAGCTATTTTATATTAATTTAAGATAATTTAAAATTTTTAATTTAATATTTAATTCCAAATTAATTTATATTTAACTTCAATTTATATTTAACTTCAATTTATAATATATAGTAACTCTCAAAATATGGAATTATACATGTGATTTAATTAATAAACATAATAAAAATTAAAATTTTTATTTTATATAAAGTTTTCAATTTTATTAATAAATATTTTTTATTTTTATAACTATAAGTTATAGTTTAATATATATTTTTTCTGGATTTTTTAGATTTTTTTCTAACAAAGTTAAAGTTATTGCAAAAATTTTTATAATAACTTTACAATTAGAATAACTTTATCAAGAAAAAATCTAAAAATTCAGAAAAAATATATGTTAAACTATAACTTATAGTTATAAAAATAAAAAATATTATTAATAAAATTGAAAACTTTATATAAAACAAAAATTTTAATTTTTATCATGTTTATTAATTAAATTATACATATAATTTCATAATTTTGTTAATTACATACAAGATAAAAATTTCAATTTTTATATTTATTAATAAAATTGCATGCATAATTCCATAATTTTGTTAGTCACTGTATTTATCAAATATTAATTAATATTTAATTACTATTGAGAATTTAAAATTATTTTATTGGCTATCAAATTTGGATCACATGATCTAACTTGACTTGATCTGGATCGGATCGAAAAGTATTACGTCATCATATCAATAATAAATTGGACAGCCAAGACACCTCACGACCCACTGCTTTCAATGGCTTCAAAAGATACGAATGAAAAAGTGACGACTGCTGTCGAGTTTCTCGAACAGCAACAAATCCTTGAAGAAGCGGCAGCAGAGATATTGCCTTGGAATTTCGACCAATGTACCTATTCCAAGGGTTACATTCGTCAACCAGTCTACGCCTGCAAAACATGCAAGCCTAACGCGAATTACGAGTCCGGTGGAGTCTGTTACTCGTGTTCAATTGCCTGCCACGCAGGTAACGCGAACTCATTCACACCTTTGGACTTTAGTTTTTCTTTTGAACTTTTGTGTTGGATAAGACGAGAGTATTTATATTGAATGACGAGTGTTATTAGATCACGATTTGGTGGAATTGTTTAACAAACGAAAGTTTCGGTGTGATTGCGGTACTGCTCGTCTTGGTGACCACGCTTGCCAAGTTGAACCTAAAAAGAATGAGGAAATAAATGAGCAAAACCAATATAACCATAACTATGTAGGACGTTTCTGTTGGTACGTGGTGAACTTTTTAAAACTACAAAAAAGAAACGTTCTTGAAAAAAAATACAATTTTATAGGTGTAATGATGAGTATGACGCGGAGAAAGAAGAGTCAAATATGTTCCAAGTATATAATAAAATTATCCAGCCAGAATTTTTACTTGTCGTGAATCCGTATATTTTTCATTGATAATAACGGCATCAACTTGATATAATTTGTAGTGCTGCGTATGTGAAGATTGGTTTCATGAAGGATGTGTGAATGGTGAAAAGACTGGAAAGTTAAATTTCATGGTGAGCCTCATTCCATTCATAGAATTCAATATGTCCTACCATCAATCCTAGAATATATGAAGTCATGTGATTTATTTCTAAAATAGTAATTTTAATTTATATATTTTAGATCCCTGAGTTAGAAGCATTTGAAGAATATATTTGCCGTACATGCACCAGCAAATATCCATTCTTAAAGCAATATAAACATTCCCATATGTTCTTTTCCGGTCAATTTAAACCAGAAGTGGAACAATCGTTATCATCATCATCAAATGAGAATAATGTCAAAGATTTTCAAATAGCCACCACTGATGATCAACCTCCCAAAGAGACGGCGATGACATCATTAACAGTGACGTCACTAACAGTGACGTCACCAGTAGCAGCATCATCATCAGTCAAAAGAAAAATAGATGACGACGACAACATCATCGTTGAATCATCATCATCGTCAACATCAAAGAAAGTGAAAGTCGAATCAACTAACGAATTATCATGCAAACTTGAAAAATTCCCATTGATTGCTAATAATTTACAAGTGGATTTATTTTGTGTGCAAGGTTGGAGAGATGAATTATGTCGATGTATCAAGGTTGTATTTATGATACTTTCATTTTGAATTGGACAGGAATCTAAGATTAAATTTATATTTTCCTTTTTGTCCAGTGTATGCAACTTTATCGTCAGTATCAAATAGAATTTATTTTGCACGAAGAAGAAACCTTTGAGCCGGCTCAAGACGATGATGCATGTAAGTATAAATAATTGATCATTATTATAACAATAGAAACAAATATCCTAAAAGATATTTCGATTCTTTGCAGCCACTTCTCTGTTTGATAACGGAATGAAATTATTGACACAAATGGATCGTGTCACCGCAATTGAAGGTAAGACTTTGTCATCTTTTCACATTAAAAAATAGTGCTAACAATACATAATGACCTTGAAATTTTTTCATTAAATTATTCAGGACTGATTGCATATAATAAAATGCGGTTTGATATCATTCATTTTTCATTTATTATTGATTGAATCCCGGAAAAAGTGTCCAAAATTTTGAATTTATATTTTTCTTTTTATTTAGTGACGAAATTCGTGAATTTCTTCAACCATTTGCTGCATCAGGAAAGACAGTGACCAAACAAGACATTGAATTATTTATTCAGGTATTTATTTTATTATTTTTCCGCGTTTTTGATTCTATAATTTTAAATCAACGACTAAACTCATACCGTTTTGTGTTTCTTACAAAGACCAAACTCGAACAACGTAAACCACCGCCTAATAATAATGAGAGTTTCTTCTAGAATAGTGTTATTGGAAACTTGATAGCGTCATAGTATTAAACGTCGCACACTTATTATATATACAGAAACATAAAACTCAAGTAAAGATACATTGATTGATCAATTAAGGTTTTGGTTTTGTCGTGAGAAAAGTATTCTTTTTTGCTTCACAAGTAATGCGCATATAGTCTGAAATCTGAACTCGCAGTGCATACCAAAAAAATGAAGAATTTGAAAAATGTGCACACCAGACACCGGATACTTTCATTATTAAGTTTAAGGCTATCTCGACCGTCTAAACTAATCCAATATTTCTTCGCTTTTGTATATACCCGCCGGCAGACATTTGCACATTGCACTATATAAATCCAACTGTCATTCTTTGTTCGCCTTCATATTATCGTTATTACATAATGCCAATGAATTTAATTTTGAGATATCACTGCGTCTCTGCCAAGTAAATTTATCACACCAGTAATGGTTCGGTGTGCAATGTTCCTGTTAGCCATTTTATACCATGATACTCAAGAAATCAGCACTTGGCATGATATGCCACGTGTTTGGGTAAGTTTTTTGAACATTGACTAACGGCTCGACTCAAAGACTCAATTTTTGTTTCTTTTTATTGCCACAGGTGTCCGCTTTGCCGAACATTACCTTCCATAGGTTTTGTGCTTGAACTAAGGTCTTCCTGTGTCCCAATACACCCCTAACAGATTCGCTTTGATAGTTGTACTTTCCAGTTTTTAACTTCTTCTGGCCGTCCGTCTTCTTCTGACTGCCCTTCTGTCTGCGCCTTAGGATTAGACGCTAGGATTTCTTCTATGAGAAAAACCTCCTTGGATGCTTACGAAATGAGATTTTGTCGGCAGTATTACCCGTTCAATCCAAGTATAAGCCTTTAATATTTTAGAAGAGCGCGAGTCTTTGCCAGTGTTTTTAGAGGATGAGCGCAAACCTTCAGAGTCTTTCAAGAAACGAGTTTTTTTATTTTTTATTTTTTTTTTATTTTTTTTATTTTTTTTATTTTTTATTTTGCCCCAGAGTCTAGATATAAAGGAGTACAAAAATTTAGAAATTACTTAGTAAACAAAGGCAAAAATAAAATTTGGCACCTAAAATTACCTCACATCTCTTCAATTACGATTGACGTCTGGGGCAAAAAGAAACCGTTATTCGACACAAGTTTGTTGCCAACTTGTGTCGTGGTTTCCCCTCCGTAGGCCCGCGTGTACAAAATGTCGTACAGCGTTGGCTGGGCCAGGGCCTGCTGTACGACGGATCCCTGCAAATAAGCATTGTTATATGGGTTTGCAATTGCAGGGATCCGATTTTGTCCAATTGCACCGCTATAGCCTCTCTTTTTAGAGGGCGTGACGATTATTTCGTCATTGGAGGGGTTCCAAGAGTCGTCAGTCGATGTATTAAGTGGTTGTGGTGAAATTGTATTGTTGTTTCCTTCGCGAATTGTATAACTGGATGTGGACTGAACTTCTGGTATTGAAGTCGTACCCATCTCTCTAACTCCACCTAATTCATTTTCAAAACCAATTGGATTATTCCAAGATGGAGAGCTGGGCGGCTCTATTACAATGCTTTCTGGTGAATTATATCTGGTTAGCAATGGGTTGCTAATAATCGATTGCGCTTGTGTTGTTATCGGTATTTGAGGCAGATCATTATGAGAGATTTCTCCTTGTGAGGTTTGATCGACTTCGTTATTTAGTTCCAAAGAATCAGATTCATAATCTTCCAATTGCGTGTTATTCAATGAATTTCCGAATTTATGCGTATCAAAAATAGATCGAGATGCTGCGATTGAAGCTGTATCCGTTTCTTCCCATCCGACTAATTCGTTATTAAGACTTACAATGCTTTCTGGTGAATTATATCTGGTTAGCAATGGGTTGCTAATGATCGATTGCGCTTGTGTTGTTATCGGTATTTGAGGCAGATCATTATGAGAGATTTCTCCTTGTGAGGTTTGATCGAATTCGTTGTTTAGTTCCAAAGAATCAGATTCATAATCTTCCAATTCCGTGTTCTCCAATGAATTTCCAAATTTATGCGTATCAAAAATAGATCGAGGTGCTACGATTGAAGCTGTATCCGTTTCTTCCCATCCGACTAATTCGTCATTAAGACTAATGGAATTATGAGAATGAGGTAGTTCTATTTCAACGCTTTTCGGTGGTTCAGATATCAAAGATGTCTGCTTTCTGGTGATCAACGGAACAACAGGATTAACGACGTCATTCGAAGGCAACATCAGCCCATTTTTTTCAACGACAGTAGGAAGAGATTCGAGTAAAATAGGTGGCGAGATTACTGCAAGGGATTCAGCACTTTTACCACTCTCTGTTTCTTTAATTATACTAGGAGTTGAGACATAACTTTCGGTATCGGTATCGGTATTTTCCTGTTTACTCCCTCCCTCTTTTGTATTTTTTTTATTATCCTCTACCTCATGTTTCGTTTTATTATCCTCCTCTTCCTCATGTTTCGTTTCATTGCTTCTTTTAGAAGAATGTCTTCTTAGACAAACTAACCCGTAAACCAAAGCACCAACCGCCACTGCACCTACAACATAGGCACCATTTCGACGAACCCTTGGGTCCTTTAGAATTTTTTCTTTTATAATGTGAAGATCAATGCCTGCGACCATTTTTCAGGTTATTTTCGATTTTGTATAGAATACGTTTTTTGAAGGAAAAACACGAGTAGCATATATTAAAAGACGTGTGTATATCAGATATGCTAATGAGTTTTTGTAAAATGTTTATTGAATAGAGCGATAACAGGTGTACTTTTGAATTCAAGAAACAGTATTGTTTTCTTATAAGCAAAACTGCAACTAGAAAGATTTTTTCTGGTTGGAGTAAAACAAATTGTTACGCGTTTTATAGACAGAAACTCGTGTACAACCAAAAATTCTAATTGGCTGGCATGACTTATTAGAACGAATCATAGTGATATGAAATTATGTAGTAAAACATTAATAAATACTTGTTAATCCGGCAAATTATTAGTACTAACTAAACTAACATTGATCAGAAAACAAAAAAGAAACAGAAGAAAGAGGTTTTCTTGTTTGAATCATTCAATTTGCTAGTGGACCAATTCTTAAAGGCTTCCAATTGGGGCTTTGTTCACACAAGAAACAAAAATAAAGCTACATATAAAAAATATAATAATGCTAAGCCATCAAATTCCAAGGCTTTTCACCCTCCTTCCTTGAAACCAAGGCAGCTTTCGAAATATGATCAATGCATGCCATACGAATTCGTTCTGGTGTAGCTGGAGATGAAAGTGTCACAATTTCGTTGATGGAATTTGCTTGTCTATGTAATAGATGATATTTAATTAATTCAAACTTTAATATGTATTAAATATAAATCGTCTGCGTAAATGAATTACACCAAATAACCATACTGATTATGATATTTATTAAAGTTTACTTGCCTTCCAGCTTTGATGGCATCCCTAATTGCAAAGAACACCGAGGATCCAAGGAACAATGGTGGCTCACCTACACCTTTACTACTGTGAATAGTTTTAAGGTGAGGGTATTGTGTACCTTGATATGTGCTAACACGGAAATCTTGGGGGATATCCCTTTCATGTAGAAAATTGATATTATTCATATCATTCATTAGCTTAGAAAGGAGGACGACAAAAATATCTAATGGACAATCCAAACCTAAAACCAGGTATTTTGTAATTCCCTGGACCCCGTGTAAAAAGTTGTCCGTTCGGGAAAAACAAACTCTCCTCAATAGTACACCATCCAACACCCTGAACAAACCCTCCTTCAATCTGACCGATATCAATCGCGTAGTTCAAGCTTCTCCCAATGTCCATACACAAATCGGTCCTAAGTATTGTGTGATCACCGGTCAAGAGGTCTAATTCGATTTCAGTCACCGCAGCACCCATCGTAAAGTAGTAGAACATTTGGCCTTCGTTTTTTTCAAAAGAGTATCCGATGTCGGGAGTCTTGTAGAATCCGTTTGCGGATAAGTTGACGCGATCGAAATAGGCTGCTTGACAAATCTATATTATAATGGTCATGACAGTTATAAAATAAAAGTGATCGATTATATAAAGGATTTTTTGGTCGAGAAGGCACTGTTTTTTACGTTACCTCTTTAAAGGTAGCATTTTGTGTCTTTTCTCGATATGGTCGTAATCTCTCTGCAAGCTTTTGGCATGCATCTGCAACAGCGTATCCATTTATATCACTGGATACACTGGCAGCAGTCGCAGACATGTTGGCAACTGTAGTCGTCGAAGTTTCCATTATATGAACTATTATTATACGCAAATAAGAAATAAAAAATGCGTAGTTACATGTTACATGAGAATTAACAAAATGGCTCCAGAACTAAAACCACTGATTCATAGACATCGAATAACAATTACTCTGATCTAGAGGAACCGAAAGCGTTTCAGCTGCAATTTGCAGGAGTTTAGTATGTAATCCTTGGCCCATTTCAACGCCACCTTTTCATTAAAATTTGCGCACATTAACGTTAAGAGACCAGTACTAATGATCATGGAGTCATCAAAAAATGAACGTATTAAAACAAATACCATGACTAACAAGCACACTCCCATCGAGATAAACATGAACTAATGCTCCAGCCTGATTCAAATGCAAAGCAGTATAAGAAAGTCCAAATTTAGTCGGAACAAACGCTAACCCACGTTTACGCCATTTATGACTGGCATTATACGAATCAACTTGGTGTCTTCTTTTCTCAAAGTCGCTTGTTTGTTTTAGTTGTTGGTATAATTGTGGTAGATGCCAATCGGTAAGAAGCTGATTGTAGTGTGTTTTTTGACCTTCTTTGTATAAATTAATTTCCTACAAATCATATTACATGGTTATAAATATCAGAAAACAATCGCGTAAAATACTAGAATACAATCATCTGGAGGGAAGAGACCGTGCTACTTACTCTCAATGTATCAACACTAATGCCCATAGAATCAGCTACTTCATTAATTATATTTTCCATAATCATCATTCCTTGAGGCCCACCAAACCCGCGAAACGCTGTGTTAGAGTGAATATTCGTTTTACAAATTTTGCCTCTAATACGCATATTCGCTATATAATAACAATTATCGGCGTGAGTGATGGCGCGGTCCAGAACAGCAGACGATAAATCCGAAGACCATCCGCCATTTGTGTAAATCTTTTTGGTAACAAAAACAATTTTTTTAAGCTTTTTGCTGCCAGTAACAATACAAAATACATAAATCTATATCTAGGTTTGTGTGTAAAGAAAGCGTAAAATACATACATCTAAATCAAGTCCTTTTATTTTACCATCCTTGCTCATACCAATACGCCAACGTCCCAAAGCAGGATGCCGTTGCCCGGAGATCACCATATCTTCATCGCGATCCAACATGCACCGAATTGGCCTGTTCAGATGCCAAGCCCCAACTGCCAATGCCGCAGTCAATGGGACGCTACGAGTTTCTTTTCCGCCGAAACCACCACCTAATCTTTTCACCCGACAAACAACCTTGTTGGCTCGAATTCCCAGTACAGAAGAAAGGACTATTTGGGTTTCTGTAAGATGTTGTGTTGAAGCGTGTACTTCGAATTCGTGGTCTTCAGGCTTTGGAATTACCAAAGATGCTTGCGTTTCCAAGTAAAAATGTTCTATCATAGAATAGTTACATTGAATCACGGTAAATATAGAAAAAACGTCACAAAGAGAAGTCTAGTAAGCAATAACACAAACCTTGTCCACCGATCCTAGAGCTTCCTATATATTAACGTCAAAGTAATTAATGTAAAAGAACATATACCGAAAAATTATTTCATGAAGCTTGAAGATTTTGTCGTGCTCCATAAAAATACCTTCAAATATATAATCTGCTTCTTTAAACGCGTTATCCACGTCTCCTCGAACAATTTGTCGATCCATTGAGAAAAAACTTTGCTTATCGATTGCTTCCTCGATAGTCAATATATAAGAAAGTCGTTCGTACTCTACCTTTACAAGTCTTACGGCTTCCTGCGCTAATGTTTGCGTGTCGGCCACTATAAGGCCAATAATTTGTCCTAGTAAAATCAATAGCAACAACATATTACCATACACAGAGAAATATCGTCATTGTAATAACTAGACACAATAATACAATCAAGTAGTGATCGCATACCAACACAATAAACTTCTGTACTAGCAAACACTTCTTCATCGTGAAAAATAGGACCCCATTTATTTTCTCCTGGGACATCTTTGGCCGAGAAAAATCCACGGACGCCTGGTTGCGCTAAGGCTTCACATGCATCAATACTAACCAGCCAGATAAAAGATTAAAAATAATAACAACAAATTTAGAGAACAGAAGAAATTTAGTTACCTCAAGATTTTTGCGTGCGGTTCTTGCGATAACAGTAACGTTCCATATAATTCACCATGTGCCTTGGGAATATCATCAAGATACACAGCTTCCCCAGTCACCTGCTTCAATGCTGATGCATGTGGAATAGACTCTCCAACGTGGTTCTTTCCATCCCTATATTTAATAAAAAAATTACACAAGAATATTAATTAATTAATTAAAAGGTTCGATATAAATAATGTGTAATGAATAATATTAACTCTGGTCGTCCAAAACTCTGTACACCTTGAGAAATCTCACGCTCAATTATTTCTGTTAATTCTTCGATAATACAACTACTATTTTTGTTAGTATATAACCCAATTTTTGTCCCAATATCGTGCCAAAATTTATAAATAAAGCCGGCGACAAGAGATCTACGATATGATGCCATACCACCGGGTGCAGAAAAATTTAGTTGTAACTCCTGTTTAAATAACAAAAGATTTATACTAAATGTTATATCACGCTAGATTACATGGCTTAAATAGTAATAGAATAATACAATCATACTTGTAAAATTGTCTCTAACAAGTTTTGAAGAACTTTCTCATCGCCCCATTTACGCCCTTTAACAAAACTTTCAGCCTGTGTAGCCCTCAAAGTGACACCGCCCATTCCTCCAAACGCCAAAGAAATATCTTGAACAAAATGCTCTTTATCAAGTACAACTCTCAATCCGGCATTAACTATCGCAATATCATCGTCTCGTCTTTTTGCTTGTTTATATGCGCTCACAAACTCGTTCTCGGCTGAACACGGAACAAAAATTTGCTCCAAGATTTCCTGTTCAGTCAATATTGTTTTTCTGTAGCCAATCCAAAATGATTCTGAGGGTATCACACGTCGATTTTTATTGTTATTGGAATCAGTGGTAGCGGATGATGATGATGAAGTTAGTGTGAAGAGCGTATTTGTTGCGAGAAAGATTGGATTCAGGTCTGAGATTGGAGAGCCAGTAACAATGTTTCCTGCTGGTGTGGCAACATTGCGGATTTGGTTTCCGGCGAACCAGCGCAGGTTACTGAGGATAGCTTGGAAAACTTGTGTTTGATGCGACTAAAGAGTGATTGATACGTGTTGATAATAATTTGATGAGGTAAATGCGAAATTTCATATTAACCTTATAACGTTTACAAGCATCTTGCAAAACCTGTTGAAATTTAGAGAGAGTTATATTTGCTCCGATCGTTAAGCCATTATCTTTGATTTTTTCGAAAAAAAAAGTTGGTAGAATAAAAATCAATGATATTTAATAAGTTTAACAAATTCATAATCACTTACCTCCAAATTCACAACTCTGAAGTGCTTTAACCTCCCCAACATATATCTGAATTGGGTACTTTAATTTCTTGAATTTGGTTTCAATTCCAATTTCTGTATTTCCTGACACCAACTTTGCATTCGGATATACTCGCTTGAGGTCTAGCAATTGATCAAGATTTATTGGTCGAAACCATTTCGTTTTTCGTCCGATAAAAAATAATGGTTTGGGGACGCGATTTATGAGTGATGGCGGGAAAATGAGCTCTTGTGACGGATCATAACGTTTTAATTTATACTGTCATTATTATTAAAAATAATTTCATAAGTATTGGATAGGATATCATAAGGATATATATAGAATATAAAGATCATAATTTTTTACCTTTGGGAATTCATCAAAGATAACGAAATCTTCAAATCTGTTATTGAGCTGACAACAATTTTCACGTCCACATCCTTTATTCTGCTACCGAGATGCATTCATTATCATTTGTAAAATAAGACTTTTTTATTAACAAAAAAAAATCAATCATAATTTCATATTATACCGAAGTTTTCTCTTGTGTATTGTTACCATCACAACCGTTTGAATCGACGCGTTTTTCATCCCCGATTTCATTCTCGCATGATATAGATTTTGAAACGGATGCGAACTATATATATAAATTTATTTTTGTAAATAATACTATTGCCGAATGAATAAACTTGATAAAAAATGCTGACAGTTTTTGCCGCGTCGAGAATAGGTCTGTAGCCAGTACACCGACATAGGTTTCCTAATTAATCAAAACAATATATATTGGAATCACCATTAGAATTCTGTGCAGCAATTAACAAAAATTTATATATAATGTCAGACCATCAAAACATTCTTCGATTTCCTTTTTTGACGGCTCAGGGTTATTCCTAAGTAACGCGTACAAGGACATAACGATTCCTGGAGTACAAAATCCGCATTGTGAACTATAAACATATACAAAATATTGATTAGCATATGTATGCAAAATAATAACACAATTGATTCCTAGAGGTATTTCTCTTAACCAATTACGTTATACATTGACGGCAAAACTAAATGACAAAATTACCCATGTAACAACGCGATCCTTTCCTAGATTATAATATACGCAATAATGATTATGAAATACATAATTCCGGTAATAAAAAAATTATACAAAAATACCTGAACAGGATGTGGATTATGTGAACTACCGATTCCCTCAATAGTAATCACGTGTTTTCCATCAATTGAACATAAAGGCGCCAAACACGCGTTAACGGAAGAATTAACAATTTTTCGTATTGTCGAATCGTACAAAGAGATTAGAACGGTGCAAGCGCCTATAGTATGAATTATTATTAAGTCAACGTGATTTTAAACTTCAATTAATTTAAACACATACCGCATCCCCCTTCCGCACATCCAAGTTTAGTACTATTATTATTAACGTTTAAATATAAATGTAAATATTTTATTATTACAAATTTTATATTAAATATTGTTACCCAGTTAACCCGATAGATCTAATGTACTGTAAAATCGTAGTATCCGGGTCTGGATTCTCCAACTCCACACGCGTTCCATTTAAATAAAACTCTAGTTTACTGGAGAAATTTTTGTGGTTAACTTCTAATTCTTTAATAGAATTTGAGGTTATTTCGTTAGTCATTCTGGACCAATGTTCATTAAAGTTCTATAAGGTTACGATAAAATTAATATAAAATCGTAAATCGACATATCTGGCTCATATATAATTAATGTTAATGCACATCCAAATATAGAGACATAGATATCGATATGGTTTCTCCACATTATTGAAAATATTTATCGTTATCTTTATGTCATTTAGTCTTAATTGGTTGGGTCAACAATATTTTTATCTTTTGACCCAACCCGGAAAAATAAATCGGATTGGGAGGGTCAATTACCCGATAGAAACCTTGTTGTGCAATTGGACTTTTGGACCAACCAGTTCCAATAAAATTAACTAGCTAGTAAATGTGTCCTACTATATTGAACAGATAATTTAATTGTTAATCCACTCATTTTTTCAATATGTAAATTTTTTTAAAAATTTGACTAGTGCTTTGGATATTTGAATTTTATAATATTTTAGAAATTGCTTTACCAATAATCAAATTCTGCAATGCTAGAATTGTCTGGATTACTATGCATATTTAGAGATCAACACAATCTGACGCGTAAAAATATATCTTAATCTACGCGACTCCTCCCAAAAATTTTTTATACGTGTATAATAAAATATGGCACTAACTACAAAACACATTGACGTAAATTATGAAGCAGAACTCGGTAAATTACTGTCAAGGCATTCTTGTTTAGAATTTCTTTTTATTGAACGCGCTTAATATAACTATGAAATATAGAAACGATAAAAAATTTTCTTGAAAAGTTCAAGTCGGCAAAACCAAGGATTGAAGTTGAAGAAGATTCTATGGATATAGACCTTTATGGCATCGAAGGGCCTCCCGAAGAATTTTCCTTTAAGTATATGGAACAACTCGTATGGTTTTCAGAGTTTTCATCAGGCAAAACTAACTCATTGATAAAAAAAGGTTTTATATCTGATTTTGATAATTTGTAGCAAAAAATTGCGAATCGCGAGCAAGATTCATTGATAATAGAACTCGATGATGTGTCTTCATTTGTATGACAAGTAGTATTATTATTTTTGTAATAAGGCGGTATTATAAAAATTGAATTTTATTCTACAGATTAACAGAGAAAACAACGATTTAGTTGGAAGAATAATAAGGAATGCAAAACATTACATTGACGTATCCCTTCGTGCAACTGATGCGTTAATGCCAGCACCAACAAAAGAGATCAGCTACACGGATGATGTTCTAGATGTTCTGATGGCAAAAAGGAAAGAGAGAGAGCAACAAAAAAGTGCACAAGCCGTCTCATTCCCACCAGGTTTGACCAGGCGACAGTAAGCTTGTTAAAAATATGCCTATATAATCGTATAGAAATAAAGTAATAAATTATATTTCCTTACAATTAGCGACATCTATCTCAAACCATTATCAACATTGAATATTTCTCCTTTGGCTGTACGTGAAGTGACTGGTGGATATTTAGGCCATCTGGTCACTATACGAGGGATTATTACGCGTGTTTCCGATGTGAAGCCATTCTTGCTTATCAACACATATGCTTGCGATATATGTGGAGACGAAGTTTTTCAAGAAATCACCAAAAAGAGCTTTATGCCGTTGATTGATTGTCCATCGGCTCAATGTAAACTTAACAAAGTACCTGGAAAGTTAGTCATGGAAACCCGAGCCAGCAAATTTTTGCCATTTCAAGAAGTGAAATTACAAGAAGAGGTTAATTGCAACGCACATTTTCGCATATTTGTTATTTCTATTTATTAATCGAAAGTTTCTTTGAATATAGACCAATCAAGTACCAGTTGGGCATATTCCGAGAACGATGACCATTCATTTGTATGGCAGTATGACAAGGACTTTAAATCCCGGTGATAGAGTGGATGTAGCTGGAATCTACTTGCCTACTCCTTATACTGGTTTTAAGGCAATACGTGCCGGTCTATTAACTGACACTTATCTTGAAGCACAATATGTCGGACAACTTAAAAAACAATACGACAAAATGGAAAAAACTCCTGAAATCGAAAGAAAGATCCAGGAGTTAAGTAAAGATCCAAATATTTACACACGACTGGCACAAAGTATTGCACCAGAAATATTTGGACACGAGGATGTAAAAAAGGCTTTGCTATTATTGCTCGTGGGTGGAGTTACGAAAACAACAGGGGATGGAATGAAAATTCGTGGTGATCTCAATGTTTGCTTGATGGGAGACCCGGGTGTAGCCAAATCGCAACTATTGAAATTTATTTCAAAAGTTGCGCCTCGTGGAGTGTACACTACTGGTCGAGGTAGTTCAGGTGTCGGTCTTACAGCAGCTGTTATGCGTGATCCCGTAACTGATGAAATGGTTCTAGGTGATTTTTTTACTTATTTACCTATCGCATTATTTTTTGATAAAACTATTAATTATTTTTATATATTAATTTAGAGGGTGGTGCTCTCGTGCTTGCTGACAATGGTATTTGTTGTATCGACGAATTTGATAAAATGGAAGATACTGATCGTACCGCTATTCACGAAGTAATGGAGCAACAAACTATAAGTATTAGCAAAGCTGGAATAACTACTACACTAAACGCACGTACATCAATCCTTGCTGCAGCCAATCCTTTATATGGTCGATATAATCCAAAAATCTCACCAGTACAAAATATTAATCTACCAGCGGCTCTACTTTCACGTTTTGATGTTCTATTTTTAATATTGGACTCACCCAGCTTGACAGGTGATACTGAATTGGCCCAGCATGTGGTCCACGTTCACACTCATGAGAATCATCCTTCGTTAGATTTTGAACCACTCGAAGGTCAAATGATTAGGTGAGTAAATCATATTTATTAACTACCTATTACGTATTAATTTAATTAATGAACTATTTTATTTGTTCGCATAAATACAGATATTACGTTGCAGAAGCTCGTTCGAAACGACCAGTTGTATCTAAAGATGTATCCGACTATATCGTCGATTCCTACGTAAGACTTAGACAAAACCAAGTAGAGGATACAGCACGCAAACGCGAATTTACCTATACCAGCGCGCGTACACTCTTAGCAGTTCTGCGAATGTCACAAGCTTTAGCTCGAATTCGCCTCAGCGACGTTGTAATACAGAATGATGTGGACGAAGCTTTAAGGCTAATCGATGTCTCCAAAGCTTCCCTTAACGTAGAAAGAGAAGTTGTTGATGGCGATACTTCAATTAGCACAAGGATTTATGAGCTTATTCGTGAAATGTATAATCGATTACCTGAAAATGAAGGTGAAGATGATTCCTTGAGACAACTTAAGATTGTTGATATACGAGATCGGGCGTATGCCAAAGGATTCACAAGTGACCAGTTGCAAGAATGCTTTGATGAATATTCGAATTTGAATGTATGGATGATTGATAACAATCGACGTTATTTAACAATGGCTTATTAATTAATCAAAAAAATTCCGATAAAAGACTACTTGTCTTGTAAGCTACACTAAATCACGAACTACAAATTTAGGACTCGCTATCTGAAGTTTATTAAAATAGGCTTGGATTATATACAATTCATTACGATGAAGACTCCTGTTAATGATACTATTACGTGTATTTACGATTATATGATTATTAAATAAAGTTTTTTTCTTTTATCTTATTATTTGCTATTCTCATAAATGCTGATAAAAACCTAAGGTGAAACAAGTAGAAAATGCTGCGCTAAGGAATGTTAAAGGAAACATACACAGTGAAAATCGATATAGCTGGTTCCGAAATAGTCCGTTATAGGCCGAATCCGCTATATCGATCGTATCGACCTTCACTACGATTTTATAAGCATTTGCTTTAAAAAGCACTGAGCCATAGCCCGATCGGTATTCTTCGAAGCAGCCATGCCCATACTAACTGATGTGCACTTACGCTTGCTGTCTGCGAACCCGATCGAAAGGGATAGTTTGCAACGAAAACCGTATTTAACCTTTTGTTTAAACTTTTGTAAGACAAGCACTCAAAGTACATCCTTGCGATTGAAATTCGTGACACCAGAATTGGTTCCATTCGAGAAGGATGGATATGATGGTAAGGACTTGCTTGGATTCTTGATCTTCCTAACTGGTTTTACTCCATGTTACAGCCTACAAATTAAGAAAATTAGTAACTATATGATACGAGTAAAGACGCGTAAATATAATCTGTGCTCGGTTCCTGATCACATGTGTGCCGGCAACTATTAAATGGTTAAAATTGCCACCCCGACATTTTTTGTTTCCCGTATTTTTCACATTTTTTGCCGGGCTGATCAAAAATTTGCGCATCTTTATTGGTTTGTGATGTGCCATGTGATCAGGAACCGAGCACGCATCCATCCATTTTATCTCACCTTAGGTTTTTTATCAGCATTCTATGAAAATAATAAACGAAAAATCTAAGAAAAAAAAGTATTTAATAATCATATAATTCGTATAGCTAAAAAGAACTTTTTCTTGATAGTTTAGTATAAGCTTAATTAGGCAGCAATTTTTACTTCTCATCACATTCTCGACTTCCTGGTGATTAGATCTGATCACCAAATTCAATAATCGAGCAGCCACTTTCTAAAATAAACACAGGATGAAGGCGATACAACTCCTCCATCTTCAGAACACAAATTAAACAACTAAAATTTAAATATCGGAAAAATATCTTAACAAAAAATAAAGAAAGACTATAATGATAATGACAATGTAAAAGAAAATCATTTACCGGACATTTGCCACATGGAACATCTGTTAATGCATTTCCGCGAGATTTATGATCACGGATTGCCTTATAGACGATTTCACCTGAACTCTCATCTTCTTCCATTAAATCGTATAATGCTGCATCTGAAACAGTTATTTTCCGTTCGACTTTTCCATCAAATATCAAGAGATCAAGAAGTGAATTTATATTTGCCAATTCTAATTCCACATCACTAATTTTGCTCTCGGTGATAAATCGATGAATTTGGGTTGCGGTAGGATAACTCGGATGGAAAGTACAGTACACAGCATCCGGATTGCCTTTAGGGAAACTCTTTTTATTGAGCAATACATAAAGGAAAATACTATGTTAAAATAGAATTATTTGTAAAGACTCACGTAATGTCTTTACTAACCCTTGATAATATAAATCGGTAAACAGCTTCAGTTAATGACTCCACAAAATCAACATCCAATTTTTGGTCAGAGAACCATGGACCACCCGAAATATCCTCTGAAGGTGTAAGATGCGATAGCATATATATCTTTCGAGTGGGATGTTTTATCGATTTTATTGCCTTGATAATACCCTTAGATTCAAGATTTTTCAAACTACGTGTGATTACGCTTTGATGTAGGCCGGTATTAGTTTTAATATGTTTAGTCCAAATTCCTAATTTATAGAATCACTTGTTAAACCAAAAAGAATTACGAAAAAACTGCAAATATCAAAGTTACCTTCATTGCCAGCTGTTTTAATATGATAAAGTACTAATTTCTCATCATTGTCAAAATCTGTTTCACTAGGAAATAAAAATAAAGAATTCAGGCCAAGATCATAACATGCGAGAAAGACGATAAATCAATTGAAAATCAATTACTCTTGAATATCACGCACATTTGTCGCGTAATAAGTAATCGTGTTATCAGGTTGCACTCGCATTTCAATCAATCCCTTTGCATATCAAACTATTCATCAATACCTCGACATCGAATAATTACTTTGAAAGTTTGAAAGAACAAACAACACTTACAGATCTCGATAATTTATTAATAATTTCTACTGCGTCTTTCATTTTGATGTTCAAGGAGCCAACTACTGTTTCCGCCGACTCGCCCTAAATTGCCAAGCAAATGGTAAAGGTCCATTTTTTAAAGAAGTGAAGCAAGAATTAGCTGTTCGAAAACGAGAGTGCTTACCGATATCTGATTATTATTTATGAACTGGTAAACTTTAAGCTCCATTGGAGTGAAATTGGATTTCTCGACTAACTTTTGTGATGTTTTATTTGGGCGTTGTGAGGACATTGTGCAATGGAGAAGAGAATGCGAATTCTATTTTATTCAAATACAGTCGTTCCTCCATATAATCACCCTCTATATAGTCACATCATCATCTCTGCAATCACACTTTTTTCATATAGTCACAACCACCTCAATTTCTGGAGGGACGTTATATACATTGATCAAAATCATAGGGAAGTGCGTATGTATAATAAATAATTCTATGCTTTATATTAATTTCAGTTTTCATCATTGTTATTTATAGGTATTACATTGTCGGTTTCTTTTTTATTTTCATTGTCTCTATTACCACTGAAATTATTATATGAGGATTCTTTGTCTACATCATCGAAATTACTATATGAAGATTCCTCGTCTACATCGAGATTATTATATGAGGCGGAGGAGTTAATACTTCTTAAAGCCCAATATGTGCCTTTAGTAGGTAATAGTCCTAAATCACGCATTTCTTTATATATTTGTTGTGACTTTTCCTTATTGTTTATTTTCGCCCACCCTTTAATCAGACTGGTGTATGTATAGACATTTGGCTTCACACCATTTCTCTTCATTTCATTATACATAACAAGAGCACCTCCCATCTTTCGTCGTGATGCAAAGCCCTCGATTAATATCGTGTACGTGAATACGTCTGGTAGTAATCTAAGTTCGTTTATATGTTCAAAGACCTTCAGAGCACGCGTCAAATCATTATATCGTAATGCGAACTTTGCGATAAAAATGTTGAAAGAAGTAATATCCGGTTTTAAATACGATAATTTAAAAAAAGGATCTAAGAGAGGATACTTTTTTGATTTGCGTGGTTCAAATTCTCCGCATTCTATCTTTTTGGCTGCAAATAACGGACTAATTACCAACAGAAAATCACGATAAATATCATATGCATGTTGAGGATGATTCACCTTTTTTAATCCCTTCGTAACATATGCATTGAGTGCAACAATATTAGGCTTCAACTTTGTTGAAGATACCCCGAAAACATCAAATAAATCCCTGTAGAGTTGTTTAGCATCTTTTAATTTCATTTTCATTTTTCCAGCTTGAAAATCGAATATAACTGTAGCCAATACAATATCCAAATCAATACCAAACTTCGTCATTTCGTGATACATTTCCCATGCGACAGCGAAATTTCCCTCACGAACATATCCGTTTATTAAGATAGAAAAGGTATATCCGTCTGGTTTTATTCCTTTTGCCAGCATTTTGGCAAATAAATCCTTTGCACTTTGCATATCTTGCTTAATCACATAATGATAAAGGATGATATTATATGTGACGATATTTGGACGAAATCCAAGATTGGAAAATTCTTTTAATAGAGATCTCGTTTCTTTTAAGCCACGGTGAAATAAAAATCCCTTGAAAATTGTGTTGCATGCTTTTTCATCCGCAGGAATTCCTTTAGCTCTCATATCTTGAAATATTTTATATGCTTCGTCAACTTTAGCATCATTGACATAACCATTTAACAATGATAAATAGGTAATTCGATTTGGTGAAATATTTGCATTGATCATCCGCTCATAATACTCATTGACTTTTTCGATATTAGGTACTCGTGCAAAACCATCAATAAGAATTGAATAAGACATAACATCAGGCTTAATATTCGCTTTTAGCATTTCATCGAGTAACTCGACTGAATCAATTAGCGCATAATTTTTGGTATAATAACTCAACACCTTGTTACATGAGCCCAGAAGATGATTATTGTTATCCTCTAAATATCCGTAGGTCAAAGTGCGCCAAGAGGAATCCATAGGAAGATTAAGTTTTTTTATGGTCGCAAAAACTTCATTTGCTTTATCCAATTGCTTATCGCGTATATATCCATTCATTAACATCAAATATGTGAGATTATTTGGTGATATATCGTTTGCAATCATTTCCTCGTAGTATTTTTCGGCCTGAGTCATATCGGGAATTTTTGCAAAAGCATTTATGATCGTGGTATATGTTTCGACATTAGGCTTAACACCGTTGTCAATCATATATTCATAAAGATCAATCATCTCAGATAGTTTGTAGTTCTTTGATAAGCAAAGAATAACCATTTTACAAGCATCTAAAAGACGAGAACTTTGCTTTGAATTGCAGTCTATATAAATTTTGGTGATGGTTATCGCATGTCGACAATCAGGTGACAGACAAAAATTATGGATTATGTTGTTTATGAATTTATTTTTAAATCTTGTATGTTGTTCCATATATATTGAAAATGCTTCATCAAAACAATTGTTCTTTAATAAAGTTTCCATTAATGAAAATGTATCGTCCACCAAATGTAAATTAGGATTGATTTCTCGAAGCCCTCGATATATTGAAAAAGCTTTCAAAAAAAATCTATCTTTTAATAGTTGATTGATTAATCTCCAACATGAAATATAAAATGGATGTGATTCACATTGTGGGAAATTATATCCAGAATATCTAAAATCTCTAAATATATTCAATATTTGCTCTGTTCTCCGTTCATTCAAATGTTCTTTCACTAAAGAGAAAAAAGTTTCTAAACTTGGTGGAAATCCGATTTGACACATCTTCTGATAAACTTTATACGCAGAGTCTGTATCCTTGATTTGCAAATATGCCATTATTATTTGCTGAAGTGAATCGGCATCCATCTGAGAATTTTTTGCAAAGACATATATTAATTCTTCCGCGTTACTTTGATCAGCACATAAAGAAATGAGATTGCTTAAAGAGAAATTTTCACTCTTGATTTGGTCTCGTATTAAATTAAATTTCTCAATTATTAGATAAGGGTCCATTAAATTAAACAAAGTACGTAGCAGGCTATTAATATCCTCGCTGGTGATAGAACCGTTATTATCATGCATTGATTGATAGACCAGTAAAATTTTATCTAGTATCCGATTTGATTCTACAGGATTACATGCGAGTTCTCCAGCTCTTAATAAACCACGAAATTTTAATATATTTCCAGCTGGTGTCTTTTCATCCGAACTATTTTCCTTACATTCTACTACCTCAAAATTTTGCGATGTTTGAGTTTCTGCGACTCGTCTAGTCATTCGTGCCAGTGTCAGAGAATGAGCAATTGAAAAGTATCTGGCGGTTGTGACTTCTTGAAAATCCTTAAACCATGGTTTTATCTTTGTTTGTGATAACAGTCGTGCCGACAGGTCTTCAAAGCCAGGCAAGGACGCCCAGAACTGGAGCCTCGAGCGAGTATATACAGATTTTTGATGTTGTGTGTTTCTTTGAAAAACTACAGTATGCTGAGCGTATTCTTTTAAATGGACTTGAGCAATAGCACGTAAAGAATCCCATATTATAGAATTATAGGCTGCGTGATAAGCTGTATGCATTTATGTCGGAGAAAATAAAAATTCAAAGATTATCTATATAAACTCAATTATATAACGATAATAAAAAATCACGTGTTATTTCAATTGGATCTAGAATAAGAAAAGCACTAACGAAAAACCCGAATTCGAAGTTTCTAAATTTACTGTAAAAGGAAGGATACTAGAATTGTGGGTAGAATTGTGGGTAGAATACGGTGCTTGTTTCAAATCAAGAGCATGTAGTGGAAGAAGGGGAAAATGTCACGAATAGAACATTTAGATAGTTTATAATTTCTCATAATTTCAGCATAATTCTTATAACTTCTATAATTTACATGATTTACATCATGACAGTAATAGCCACTATATATAGTGTTGTATAATGACCTTTCGTCATAACATTTCATATTATTGGATTATACATATTTCATATCTTATTGGATAAAAGTCAAATCACGTGAAGTGAGTGAACAAGCGAACAAACAAATAAATAATTAAATGAACAAGCAAATGAACAAGCAAACGAATAAGCAAATATTGAAACCAATAGAATTAGTAAATATGAATTCATATAGCTGACAAAATATAGTTTGGACATATATAAAAGCAACATGTATCATAGTTATTAGAATTAGATATGAACAAGTTTTTTTAGATAGTAATTCTCAATTATCACGTCTAATTAATTACCACGTAATTTTGATCATTCAAAAAAGTAAAGTTTGTACTTTATGTAGAGTAGGTAATCAAGCGCAAACTCCTCTCTACACTCTTTTGACAAAGTATTCATTTTTTTGTATAATAACTTTATAAGAAGTTATACAGATCTTGAATCAATATATATATTATAGTAGCTTAAGCAAATTGCCAGGAGCACTATAAAAGTTATCATCTTTATCCTAAACTTTCTGAACACATTGTAACAAAGTCTATTGAACATTATATTAAATAAAGAAATTATTATTATAATTTATAAATCTGTCTTTGAGATTGTATTGTTAATAATACATTGCTCATAAACTTACCTTTGATTTTGTATTGCTAATAATACATTGTTTATACACTTATCTTCGATTTAATATTGCTGATAATATGAATATCATATCTTATATTTGATCTTTAAAGATTTAAAGATGTTTTTAATATGTATATTATATTTAATATTGAGATTTTGAGAACTCTCTTTAGCAATCCAGTTATTGTATTAAAAGAATATAATTGTTATAAATCTTTAAGTGATTTTTATAAGTACTTATTGTACTTTAATTTATATTCAGTCTAAAGTCATAAAGTATTATTAAGACTGTGAATTGTTATTAAGACATTCGAGTTTCCCCTTTAAATATCATAAATATTCTTGAATATTTCAAAGTCCCATTAAAATGGTAACAAAATTTTGGTGCCCTCTTTGTGAATCAAAATCTCAAAAGCATTATTTTGAAAATACTATTAGAATAATTATTAAATTTCTTGTGTGTATTAAAATTTTGAAACATTATAGAGTTCCATTATAAAAGAATAATTATTAGTAAAAGAATTCTCTGTGAATTAAAATCTCAAAAGTGTTATAAAGCATCATTATAAAAGAATATTGAGTGAAAGAATATTAAATTTATGAAATTAAAGGATATTAAGTAAAAAAATTTCTTTGTGAAATATATTTGTAATATATAAGAAAGAAAAATTTCTTTGAAATATAAAAGAATTTTTAATCAAATATCTGTAAAAAGAATTCTCTGTGTATGAACAACTATTAACTCAAACTGGATTCAACAAAATTCACTACTGTTGAAATTAATAGATAATTTTAGCTTTAAAAAATGAAGTTAATTTGAAAGAAAATCTTATCAGAACACAACTTAAAGAAATTAAAGATCAATTTATGAATATCTTTAATATAATCTATATGGAAAATACAAATATTAAACCAGTAAATCAACTTAAAGATATACTAGAATGATATTCTCAACAAAATTTAAATATCTTATATAATCTTCAACAAGAAATTACAGATTTTCTTGTACAAAGAGTAACTTATCATAAATAATAAAAACTTTGAAAAGAATTAATTGAATTACAAAATCTAGAAAATCAAATAGTAATTCAAAATAATTTATCTTTGCCAACACCAGAAAAAGATAATGAAGAGTCAGAAAAAGAACAAGAAGAAATAGCAGTAAACAACATTCAATTTAATAATCTGATTAATAACCTTCATCAATTAGTAACTGCTATTGGTAATAATCAAGAAAGAGGAGAAGCAAAATTATTAACTTTTATATTGATACTCAAGATCCTATCAGATGGCTCCAAGACTTTAAAAATACAAGTCAAACTAATAATATATCTAATTTTAGAAAGTAACAAATTATTGACGCATATTTGAAAGAATCTACTGAAACATGATTAGCTAGTAAAAGAATCTTAGTAGCAAATTGATCAATTTAATAGAACTCAAATGATCTTACCAATCTAAAAAATTTAGCAGTTTTCTTTATTTATCAATTTAAACAAAAATTTAGAATTATTGACAAGATATATGAATGACAATAACAATTGAACTAATGAAAGCAATTACTAACTGAAATAATAGAACAATATTCTATTACTGTAAGAGAATTACTTTATTGTATTGATCCAGATAATGGATATTCAGAATATTTAAAAGTAATAATATTTATTAAAGGATTAAAACCAGAAATAAAATTTTTTGTTAGTTCAACTCAACCAGCTACTCTAGATAATGCTATTCATACTGCTCAATTATATGGATCAAGCTATCAACAATTCACTAATTTAAATACTATCAATATAATACCAACAACAAGTTTATTGAATATTTCAGTAATTCAACAGCCAATAGAAAATAACTTAAATCAAGTCTTACAACAACTTGTAACTTTGACAACAAAATTAGAAAATCTAACAATTTCAAACAACTGAAATCAAAATTGTCAAGATAACAGATATAATAATAATTATTATTATTATTATTATTATTCAAATAATTAATAAAGGAATAATTATAATAATAATTATAGACGGCTGTTATTCATACTCTCCAAATTTGTTATTTGTATCCCCCATGTAAGAAAATCATCACAGATCATGTGAGCACATGATCTGTGATGCAGTTTCACTAGCCGAAAATAGAATTTGTGCCTGATTCCTGATCACATGTATCTCACAGACCAATAAGAATTCGTGAATTTTTGATCAACCCAGGAAAAACAAATCCGGGCACAGATTCTACTTTGGTGTTTCAAAGAATTATTGGTTTTAAAAGAATAATTAATTATTAATTAAGATAATTGGTTTA